CTGTTTTTTTTCCGGTACCAGGAATCAAACTCACGACCTCACACTTGCCAGGCAATATGACCATGAAATATGTATAATATGTTGTCTGTGTAAAACATTGCAGTGGGTTTATAAAGGAGAAAATGACTGTAGTTCTGGAGTCCTGAAACATTAAAGTTTAAGAAAGACTTTGACTTTTTTTAGAGAATTGTGCATATTTATGCTATATCACCACCTGTTATTTTTGTACCACTATTGCATGATTTCTTTTGGTTAAGCAATTTGCCTTTTAGCAGCTTTATATTAGTATAAAATATGGTTCTCAAGTAATTACAAGTAGAACAGTCAGTATAAAGTAAAAGTATTGAGTATTTTCTATCACTGTGAAGTTTTCAAATGCTTAGTTTTTTTTCCCCCTTTTTGTGGTTCTGAACCCAGGGCCTTTGCCTTGAGTGACATCCTCAGTCCTTTTTAATTTTTTTTTTTCTTTAAATTTAGATATGGAGTCTTGCTGAATTGCCCAGGTTGGGCTCTTACTTACTGCCTCCTACCATGGCTTCCCACAGTGCTGGAATTACAGGCATGTGCAGTCACCCTGGCTCAGATTTATAGTATCTTGAAAACACAAAGGCACTTTGGATTTTACATAAACTTTCTGTTTCAGAGATATTTCAATAAGCAGTTAAATGACTAATTCAAGGCCACACAGGCCACATAATTAGTGGCACAGACAGAACAGAAATTTACACCTAGGGGCTGGGCATTTAGTTCAGCAGCACAGCGCCTGCCTGGCAAGTGCAAGGTCATGAGTTCGATTCCCAGTACGGGGAGAAAACCCCCCCAAAATTAAAAAAAAATAAAAAAAAGAAATTTACACCTGTAATTCCAGCACTTGGGAGGGTGAGGCAGGAGGATGGCTGCAAGTTCGAGGCCAGCCTAGGCTACAAAGTGAGTTCAAGGCCAGCCTGAATTGCATAGTGAGACCCTGTGTCAAAAAGATAAAAGAAGAAAAAAATTTAATTCTCTAGGTTTCTTCAGGTGCTTTCCACTTCATGTACTAAATCTGTACAAATGATGATGTACTCAAACCATGTAAACATTAAAAGTTATTGGACTGAGCTCAACATAGAGGAAGTTTT